CCTGGTGGGAGAGGCCGTTTTGAAGGGCTCCCCGGCGCAGGAAGGCAGCGGGGAGGAAAAGGCCCGGAGATGCCCCCGGAGGAGGGGCTGCAAAGCCAGCCCAGGGAGCTGTGAGGAGGAAAGAGCCGTCCTGTGCCGGGAAGGCGGCCGGAGCTTGAGCCGGAGCTCCGAGCTGGTGGTCCCTGAACAACCTCCCAGCAGGGAGAAGCCCTTCAGGTGCTTGGAATGTGGGAAGAGCTTCAGGAAGAGCACCCAGCTCCTCAGCCACCAGCACATCCACACTGGGGAACGGCCCTACTCGTGTAGGGAATGTGGGAAGAGCTTCAACCAGAGCTCCACCCTGATCGCCCACCAGCGCATCCACACTGGGGAACGACCCTACTCGTGTGGGGAATGTGGGAAGAGCTTCGGGGACAACTCCCGCCTGATCCAACACAAGCGTACCCACACTGGGGAAAGACCCTTCAAGTGTGAGGAATGTGGGAAGAGCTTCAGGTACAACTCCAACCTCCGCAACCACCAGGTCATCCACTCTGGGGAACGGCCCTACATATGTGGGGAATGTGGGAAGAGCTTCGGGGACAACTCCAGCCTGATCAGACACCAGCACATCCACACTGGGGAGAGGCCCTACACATGTAGGGAATGTGGGAAGAGCTTCAGGGAGAGCTCCAACCTGATCCGACACCAGAAAATCCACACTGGGGCACGGCCGTACAAGTGCTTGCAATGTGGGAAGAGGTTTCAGACCAGCGGGAATCTCCTCCTGCATGAGCGGATACACACAGGGGAGAGGCCCTTCCGCTGCACCGACTGCGGGAAGAGCTTCAAACAGAACTCCACCCTCGTCACCCACTGGCGCATCCACACCGGGGAGAGGCCCTACAAGTGTGGGGAGTGTGGGAAGAGCTTCAGCGACAGGTCTACCTTGACCAGACACCATCGGACCCACCAGTAAGGGAAGCCCTACAAGTGCCCTGACTGCAGGAAGGGCTTTGGCCGCTGCTCCCACCCCGAATGACCCCCCTGATGGTGAGGCAACCCCTGGAGTCCAGTGACTGTCAGTCCATCCCTTTCTACCAGAAAGGGCCAGTCCCCTTTGCCAGGGGCAGGTTGTGCCAACAGAACCCTTCTTGGGGGGTGTGTGGAGATTCCTGCCTTGGCTGGG